ATTTGAATGCCAGAAAAATTAATAATGTATGCATTAGTTGAATGAAATTGGGTCAATAACACAAAAAGTACTATTTTTTAAGTTTTTCACTTCTTACTTATACTTTTTTATCGTTTATTTTTGCGAAAAACCTATGCACCCATGTTTATTCTCGAATATCGGTGTCAGAAACTCGCGTCAGTTTTCTCAAATACTCAAAAACAGATATTTGTTTATTATTTTTGAAAATTGTATCAATTGTGTAATTCATTGATGTTGTTGCAGACAAGCTTTATTGAGTTGTGTTAAAAGAAAGAACATTTTTACAAAGCGTTCTCATTTATGTTTTCAAATGATTTCGTCATTTATTCGAAAGCTTCATATTCTCTAGTTATGAATTTAGAAGAAGAGAGTCAAAACAGATTTCTTTCAATATTTACTCTCTCTAAAAATGTTCTCAAACTCAAAAATTATTTAGGAACAGAGTCGAATATTGATAACATGTTTGTAGGGTGAGAGTTCAACGATATGAAATGGAATCCAACCGATCCAATTACTCAATAATTTTTCTACTACTTCGGAGGTATTACAGGAATTACACAGGCACTGCAAAGCATTCTTGAAACGCTCTGAGATCTGAGCTAAAGTAGCGATTTAATGTTTATCGATTTTCTAGGCTTTTAAGTTTCCTTGTGATGTTTGGGTATACAATAAGGCGAATGACTCGTTCTTTTCTGGTTAGAATTTAACAGCCAGAGGTGGAGTTCTATACCTGTGAGCAAAATTCCAGAGAGGGCCTCTGACTTGTACTTCATGAAGCTTAAAACATTTTGAAGGTGTGTAACTTTCTAGCTCAAATAATAGTGTCCCAAGTTTTCTAAAAGCTGACTGCTATTATTGTAACGTGCTTGTGGCAATACGTTGTTATCCAACTTAACACTTGACAGATTAATCGATATTACCAGCAAAATTTTATGAACTGACGTTATGATGCTCAGTTTCGCCACATTTCATAGCTTTGAATTCTACTTGGTTTCTGTCCAAAAGTCGAGCTTTTTCCAAGATTTTAATGAGAATAGGAAACCTCTAATTGTCGCCAAAGATATGCATAAGCATGATGTTCGGGAATGAAAAGAAAATTATGCTGTCGTCAGCAAAGTTGAGTATATGATAGAAAAAAGGAGTTGGTGACAATGGATCCTTGAGGACACCATCGATATCCACATAAAGAAACTACTTTCAAAATTTCGCAAAACAGTTGTTTTTTTTTCAAATATGAATGGAAAATGGCTGATTCAGAAAACTAGCATTGCTGTAATGTTTTCTCTACAGACAGTGTTTGAAGACAATCAAATGACAATTCTGCAATACGGAGTTGTACTTTGTTGATGAAAGAAAATTTGGACTGTTAACAACATCTATATCATCTACAAATTTCAATGACCTTACTGATGGCGAATTTAAAAATCATTGATTAATCGATCTACGAGAACTAAATATAGATGTTTTCGGTAATTAACCCATAAGAGTAAAACACAGTATAAACAGAACGGAATAAAAGCTGAGTAACCAGAAAGAAATCAGGTCTACAGTGGCTTTGTTGCCCTAGATATAAGATTGATTTTGGGTGTATGTATACTCACAATTCATGAAATTATCAATGGTTTTGTAAGATTTGCTCTCGTTTTTTTTTAAATATTTATTTTCATTTTACATTAAAAACATTCGAAAACAAGAAACAAAATAACAGATATATTTATAATCTCAGTTTTATTTGGAAAAAAGTATGATACTTTGAAGTAAATAGATAGGGAAATTTCGAAAACATGTTATATTTCCATGAAACGCCTTTTAAGAGCTTTCCTTTTATAATTTTTCAGAGGACAATCTCTTTTTAAAGACCAGCAGTAATCAGCCATCATGTGACAATCCCATCGACTCTGATGTCATTTTTCCATTACTTTTAGATCCTGGTGGAACCGCTCTCCTTGCTCCTCACTATAATTTCCTAAATTATCTGGAAATTTATCCAAATTGTTGCGAAGATAGTGTAACTTGATACTCATATTTGCTCCTAGAATCTGTGCACTCGAAAACATAAAAATTTGCAAAAATATCCAGGGCAACACAAATTTTTTTTTTTGTAGAGCTGTGAAATTAATTACATCAAGAAATTATTACCGAACCAATGAATATAAGGCGAATAATAAATGTGTTTTAATTTTCCTAGTATTAAATAAAAAAGTGAAATACGTGTACGAATTGAACCCCTAGCTGTTAATTTTATGTTGATTTGTTAATTGTATGAAAAGTGTGTAATTGTTTTTAATCTGAAGATAACATTGACCTTAGCTTGCCAGAATCCAAAATACAATATCAAGTTTCCATTCATTAAATGAATCATCAAGAAATTCCAAAAAATAATTTAATATACTGCACTTTATATGTTTGAGTTAGGGTCAGTGACCACTCTTCCCATCATACCATCCTGTATTATAAAGAAAAAGTAAAAAGTGACCAAAATCAAGCAAGCTTTTTATTGAACATCCTTTCACTGTATGCTACAGTTTGTGAGTGATTCATTCGTTTGTTTTTTTATGCATTAAATAAATGCCTCAGTTTCAAAAAATACAATGTTCAAACTGGAAGTCTGAATTATCGACTGTCATTTGCTATCGTCCAACTCGTGTTAGGAATCACACGTTAAAAGATAAGACCTCGTTAATCCTTAGATCGCACAAGTTTCGACTTCTGAGGTTTGTTGTTCGTAGGTGTGCGACAGCTGATTAACGGAAAAACCGATTTCAAACACATTTAACATTTTTAAAACGCCAGCCAAATTATGGCGAAGGAGCAAGTACAAATTCGATTTTATTATTATTATGTACCAATGTTCAATTATATTATATTATGTACCAGTGTTCAATATTTAAATCACCTAAAGTCAAAACTGTCATGAATGGGATCATGTTTAGTACATAGATATTGGAGAAATCGAGGAGTCTATAAACGGGTGATATTTTATCTAAACAGTAAATCTTGAACAAATTGTTTCATTAGGTTATTTTTGATTTCTGTAACCGGTTTTATAATTATTCGCCTTATTAAAGGAGTTGTGTTGTTTCTACTAGTTTTTTTTAATATTCTTAATTAGCAGTAGCGACCTGTGTCCTTTGACGAAATATTCTGAATCATTATAAATTTGTGGCATTTTTTTGTTAAAAAATTAAAAGGTATTCAATATTTTTAGTTCTTAGGCTGTGCGCACGAAAATAGCGACGGTCGAGCGATTGGGAAGCGACGCAACGGCGGAACTGTGGCTATGCATACAACAATATCGACAGTATATGTGACACGCCACCCCGCAGTCACTATCGCTTGGCCGTCGCTATTTTCATGCCCGCAGCATCAGTTATCCGCTCAACTTTGGGTTTTTGAAGAAATGTCTATAGATTTGTTTGCAGTAACATTTTTGAATAAAATAGAAGCTGAATAACGATTTCTGTGTCTTCTACGGTTTTCGTATATTGGATTCAAAAAAATGAATATTTCGAAATAAAATCTCGCAACATTCATCTCTGTCAACGCTCCCACAAAAAAAATTCCGGCAAATTCCTGCCGGAAAACAATTACTTCATGGTTAATAACACGATGGACATTGAATTATATTCGACACATATCAAGTTACATCACAAAGAAGGTAATCATTTACCCGATACTAGGTGGGAACATTGAGAGTGATAAATGCATATTTACCAATTCCAAATTCGAATAATTCCCCATTATTGAATTGTATTGAACTGTTATGAACCTATTGATGAAGGAGATAATTTATAACGAATAGATTTGAATGACACTTATAAGCAATGTCAGATTGAAATCGTAAGTGACTTATTCCAGGGCAACTAGATTTATCATGTGTATTGGTAAATATAAGGGTTTAAGTGAGAGCTTGAAGAATAGAATATAGTTCTCCAGTAAACACGCTCCATGTACTGGGAAGTTTATATTTCATGGTGGTTACTGGAGTGATGACTGCTGCTCCTACTCCTTCATTCATTTTCGAAGAGTCGGTATATATTTGCAGATGGTCTGGATATTTGTCCATGATTTCGGAAAAGTGTTTTTTAATCAGAATGTTGTTTATTCTTGCTTTGTCGTATGTTGTGAGGCCCATTATTGAATTGTATTGAACTGTTATGAACCTAATGATGAAGGAGATAATTTATAATGAATAGATTTGAATGACACTTATAAGCAATGTCAGATTGAAATCGTAAGTGGCATATTCCAGGGCAACTAGAATTATTGTGTGTATTGGTGAATATAAGGGTCTTAATACTTCAACTAAAAAAGGCATATCACAGAAAAAACTCATGACAAGCTCTTTTGTTTAAAATTGAACGAGGATTCGATAATAATATTCATTTGGGCACAATGATTCAACCTACCGGTGAAAAATATCAAAGTTGATGGCCGAACGCATGCCACTGTTGGATTTAAGAATTCTTCAGTATCGAAAAATGTGCAGCTTTATTAACTGTCACTGCCCTACTAATTCAAAAACTCAAGAGAGATCGAATTAAATACAACAAAATTTTTCCATAATTTCTCGGACAATACAAGGGTTTTCATTTTTTCCTTATTCAGAAACGACGTATCCTAGGGAATTCAAAATTGAAGTTCATTTGAGGAAAATCAATAGGCAGTATCATTCTTTCTTCAAAAATGACGAACATAATTTCCATGCCCAAGCCACTGACTGTTGAAGTTAATTGAAAAATAATTTTTTTTTATCAAATGTCAGTGCTCATCAAGTATCACTAAAATATCCAAATGGTTTCAGGAATAATTTACTTTTTTTTTCTTACAACTTCATTTTCAATGGAATATTTCAAACCATAGTTTATAAGCAACCTGTAATTATTTTTTCATGTAGATATACACCTTTGAGCATTCGCATATCATTTAGCAACACCCTGTTTAGATATTCGATTATAGGAACACATTCATTAACTTACCAATACTAATCCATCACCTTCCGTTCTCATCAAAATAGCTGCCTGATTTCCCTCATCCTGATACAGTTCCCCAATGTCCTCGTTCGTCTGAAAGCAATAAAAAATTGGTAAACTAAATGTTATATCCGTAGTATTTCAATCTATCGATGTTTTCATCACTCGATTCAAAAATGAAATATTACAATTCTTATTTGTAATGATTCCTAGAAAAACTTTGATTAGATTAGTTTGTGGCGGCCTTGATTTTCGCATGATTCAATTCAAATTAGGTCTATGATCGCTCATGTATGTCGTCAACGTTTTTCTTTCAGGGCAAAACAACACAGGTACACACAATCACAATTGAAACATAATGTAATATTCACGTATTACCAGAGGTTTCTTTGTTTTCGATTGTTACTCCACCTTCTTACGAAAACGCCCACGCAGTAGCCTAAATTCAAATCAATGCTGAATGGGAAAAACCATTTCAGATGTTCTTTCGACATGATGGCTATTGAATTGGTTTGTTCAAAAAATGTCATACACGAATGCACGAAAAATGGAAAGTTTAAATACACGATTATGGAATTTTTTGCTCCGTCTATCGACGCCTGCTTGAATATCAGATTTTTCAGACTTCCGTAAAGTGAGTTATTTTTCAGCTGTCAAAGGTGATTGCTAAACTATTCTTAATTCTTGTGATGCACTGTGTGGAACCTTTGGTGTAGTAATGAATATTACTGGAGTTTTTTCCCAACACCAAACCGTTATTTCAACACCTCGACACGTGTTTCGATCACCAAGTGATCATCTTCAAGAGCAAGATCAAACTCATTTTATCAAGAGGAAGATCAAATGGGTTAGATCTTTCTTTTTTCTTACATTATTTCTCACATTATGGAATGTTCCGGAGGTAATTTCTTCGCAGGCACATCTTTTTTTTATCCACGAGTTCTGTAATGCACTGTGGTTGTACATCGTACACTTTAGATATGACGTATCGCCTCAAAAACATCTAGAGGCGTTACATCAGGTGATACAAAGGGAAATCTCAAAGGACCACGTGTGCCTATCTATCGTTCCCTTAGAATGGCCCGCTAGATCACCTGATCTGACGTACTTTGATTTTTTTCACATTCGTGAAATCTTAAGTATATGTTACATAACCGCAGTCCATTCCAGAGCTTATTGATAGAAAAAGTACTCAACGAAAGGAAATTAATTATTGTCAGGAAGTGAATGGTGATCATTTTGAAGATCTATTAGGATAAATTGGAAAACGTTTCAATAATTTTGAAATCATATTTGAGTTTGCATATTTTGAACAGAATATGAAACTTTTAATGACCCAGAATCGGCTGATAACGCCTTCTCAGTAACAAGTCATATTATTTTCTTTTTTACCAAAAAGTACTGAAAAAATAATACCTATTTATCCTTGACCTTGATATATAGTCTTGTTCAAAATGCATTGTAAAGTGTATTTCGTATACGTATTGAGAGATTTTATATCCTTTAATGGGCTTGTTTCACGCTATGGAAAATGATACTGGTTCGCTTATAGACTGATCGAGTTAGGGGTATATTATACTTATCAAGCCTAATAGGTCCCAAGATCTCTTTATATTTGCCAAAAAAGAACAATTCGAAAAGCAAGAATTTGAATTGGCCGCGTGTCTGTTGACCAATAAAATTGATCGTGTCTAAAGCGGAGTTGCAAAGTGTTTTTAATATCCAATCGCAGATCTGATGATCCAATTTAACAGATGCCATTTTTGTTGTTATTGTTGTCAACTTTGTGTGAATACAACCGTTACAATTATCTAATTGAAGATTTTTTTTTGTAAAAGGTAGGTCTCGGCGGGTGCCTATTTTGCTGCATATTNCAAGAAAATCAAATGCTTTTCATTTTACTTCATTAAATTTTATCATATGATTAATGGTATTATTACCTCAGTTCGAATACATTCAATTCTATCTATACTTGACCTCATTCAACCTTTCTCTCAAGTTTTGGAAGATTCAACAGATTACCCAAGCGAGCCTATAACGTTTGAATTCAGTAGCAATATTAGAAAGAGGTATGTATGCAGGAACTGTTATTTTTTTTCATAATAAATTGCAATTGTATAGATTGAGAATTGTAAAATAAATTGAATATTTGAAATGATTCTTAAATCCAGTTTGCTATATTTTTTGATTTTCATAACTGTATATTATTAAATAATGCATAAAATCATATTTCAGGTGAATATTTTGTGATCTTTCGAATTTGTGTACTGAGTTTAGATATAGAACATAGTTCCAAACATGATTTTTTGTATACATTTTATTTCATGTGTAGAATTTTTCATTAATTGAAACATTAATGGTTAATATACACTTATCAAAATAAATTGATACTTATAGGCTCCGTAAATTTTACGATTTGACAATGTTGATTATTTCTATTGTTCCTATTGGTCAATCGAACAAGAAGCGGGAATAGGGTCGTGACGTCACCACCCTACCAAATTCGATTTTTAATAATTAATTAGTAATGTCTCATCTCTCTAAGTAATGGTACTTAGAGAGATGAGACGAAGTGCACTGTTTTTCAATTTAAAATTTCTATCAAGGGAACTATAAACCAAAAATCATGAAATACGCCCATTGAAATATTACAGTATTTTTTATTAAAAAAGGTTACTCAGTCTAGAGCAAAAAATTCAATTTCGTGTCTCCCCTATTTGGTCTACCCAAAAAGTACATCTTATAGTAAGTCACTATCAAATGAAAAAGTAATGTTCTATGGGTAACTAGATTACCATCCTTAGGTCTAAAGAACACAGTTAAATAAAAAGAATGTGTCGAAAAATAAAACTGTATAATAAAAATATACAGATCAATAGTTGTCTTAACATAAGCAAAGTGAACATGGGCAACAAAGAAGGAAGGCAAAATTGAATAACAACATTGGGAATGGAATTCATATTGAGTCCAAATAGATACCTCAGAAACGAACAAATGAAGGAAAGGAGAGGGGAAGAAAGAGATTCAACGTTTCGAATGTGAATGTCCACAGTCGTCTTTGGGAGATGAATGTTTATCATCTTTTTAATCAATTTTACTAATTAATTTCTACTTCAGGTCACGGTAAGTTGGTTTCTTTACAGATTTCATACTCGTTGTTTATTTTTTATCATATTATTTTCTATCTTTTCACATTTCATCCATTTATTTCGATCCTAGTAATTTTGAATCTCTTTCCTTCATTCACAAATGTTAACACTTTTTTAGTCAATATGAAATGCACCAATATTAATTACACTAGTATACAAACAGTTTCATAAGTATGCTATCAATAAAAATAAATTTATGGGTTCATAAACGGAATGCATGAAAACAAAGAAAATTAGTGTGTTTGTTAGACACATACGAATATATATTTTCACTTCTTTGTTCGAGAGAGTGACATTTGCTAGACATAATTCCGTTGAGAAGACACAACATATTTAGAGTTGCCTATGAAGCAAGGTAACTTGTTTGTTTCGTGTAAACTTCGGAAAGAATACAAATGCTTGTAACATTCCCCTAAGAGATTGACATCCGTTTACAGAAGTGAACAGAGATAGATACTTTCTTGGAATAAATCATCCAAGTGTAGATGACAACAGAGATCGAAGCGAAAAGCTTAGTCATCCTAGTTTTTGGCAAATATAATAATATAGAGACGAAACACATATACAGCAGGCTTTGGACCGGAAATTGTAAGTTGAGGTTGAATAGCGGGGAGTGGTATTTGATCCCCGGCTACCCCAGAACCAACTTTTAGAAAAAATTGAAAGAAAAGTGGACGTAAAAACTTTGAAGAAGCACACTTTAATTTGAAAGATAAAAATAGTGATGATTATAATGAAGTTTTATGTGCAATGTCCCAAAGTT